GCTAGAGCCTTTCTTCTTTTGATAATTTTTAATCCATACGAAATGCCATATATAAGGGTCACTAGAGCATCGTTAGTGAAGTCGTCTTTATCTGGGATTTTGGTGATTTACCCAAGCAAAATAATTTTTTTTATCAATTCTCAATATAATGAAACCACCCAAACATTAATATAGTTAGAGACTAGTGATGGAGACTCAAATGGCATCTCTAGTTGATTTTTAATGGGATTCTAAGCCTTCTAGTTAGCATTAAATGGTGTAGTTTTGGGATCAAGCTTTACTTCCAAGTCTTTGCCACCTGGCCTTTCCTAGCGAAGTCAAGTAATATCGCTAGGTCCAAGCTTGGCTGGCACAAATAGCTTACTTCGCTATACAAGTAACATTCATTCATCCATGCCTGCCAAGCCAATACCTCCATAGTTTATCTCGAATAATCCCCATGAACTTGGATTCATAGGTTTGTGTTCATCTACAACAAAGAGCAAATTATGAATATGTATTTGTACAAATGTGTAAGTATAAAATATACATGTGTATACTCCCTTGTATATCAAAGCGAATGGTGAGAATGAACATTGTTGTGCCCTTTTATCCACTAGCCATGGCGACCACTTGTATAATATTGCTATGTATGTTTGGCAATACGCCAAAATAAAGAATGAGTAATATGGATGTGTGCCATGATATTGTTTTGTCGAACCAAGTGCCGCTGCTCGACGATACTTATCATCACGTAAAAATATGAAGTATGTTGTAAATCAAGATTACCGATGATTGGTAATTTTGTCGTTTTGTTTGAAAGAATAATGATGTGTATGACCACTGGCCATGTTTTATAAAATTCATAAGGTCAGTTATGATTAGTTTCCCCATTGGCCATGTTGTATAAAGATCGTGAGGTTAGCGATGAATAACTTCCCCATAGCTAGAGGGACAATAGTGACTAGCTTTACCCATGACTTAACTTTGAACTATGTGGAATTGAAAGAACATTCTCATTCATCTTCCAAGTCACAAAAGGGATAAATCTCATTAATTTGAGACTCCGTTGTAGTGATGTGTATGTGATAAAAATGGATGGAGTTTTGTCCATGGAAGGGGGACGCCAGCTACATCCAAGGCCTGCAATATGAACAAGGTGTGATACCACAATCAAATGATGGCCCTTCTTGTTGTACCTACACCATTAGAAGATGGTCCTAGTTGCTGTTACCCATTGGGCACTGCACCACCATGCACAAGGGACCACCAAGGAGCTATTGGTCGCAATTTGATGGATTTTTATCGCTAGAGGGTAGCCATCACAACCAATCGCAGGGTTGCAACTATTATCGGCCTCACGCTAATCATACCAAGTTGCGCTGACTCCTTGTCTGTGTAATATCCCAACATTTTCTAAAACCTTAAAATTTAAGTTGGAGACTTATGTGGCAGAAATTATTATTATTAGGCCTAATGGTTAAAATTCACAAACCTAAGGGGGAAGCTAAAAGAAAATTTGGTTTTTAAAGGCTAAGACTAATTTTCTTTTTCTCCTTACCTTTCTTACGTGTTTCCTAGCTCCTCACCCAAAGCTCTACAGCCACAAGCCCTAAGCTGCCCCAAAACCTCATCACTGTGACAAATAGATCTGGCTATTGATACCCTCTAATCTCCTGGTCTGTGTTGGGTTTGCTGTCCATAGTAAAAGATCACCATTTTCCAGCACTTTTCGATTCTAAATCATCTTCACCGCCTTGAGATCTTGAATTCTTGCTTGTTGTATACCTATAAGGCGAGGTAAGTAAAATTGTGGTAAATGTCCTTGAATTTTAAAGTAAAGATTTTAAAAGCATATTTTGAACTATTTTTGAGATGGTTATGGAACTTATATTGATTTTTATTAGCACTTGAATATGACTAATTTAAAGTGAAGTTGTTATTATTTTTATTAAGTTGAGCATGCCTACATGGAGTTCATTTGTTTGTTTTAGAAATCTGAAAATTGATTTGTAAGTTATGACTTTTCTGTTAACTCCTACATATTTGTAAATTATGGATTTTCCTATTGAACTCCTGCATGGTTTTGTCTCCAATACAATCGTGATTACTAACGTCCACCAGTAAGAGATGTAAACACTAGCACATGTCGACATGTATTTTTATTAGATTGGTTCATTATGTATTTTTATTATCCTACCAATGGGAGAGTACACTAGTATCCTGCCAATGGGAAAGTACACCGGTATCCTGCTAGTGGGATCGCACATCGGTAATTCTGTTATCCTGCTAGTGGGAGAGTACTAGTATCTTGCCAATAGAATCATACATTGATATATCTATTATCATGTCAATGGGAGAGTACATTGGTATCTTGCTAGTGGGATTGTACATTGGTACTTTTGTTATCATACTAGCTAGGATAATACACTGACCATGACTAATTGAGGGGACCACTAAATAAGTTTAAGTATGCATAAATAATTTACAATTGAGATTTTCTTCCTACTTATATTTAAAATGTTTACTTGGCATGCTTTAAATTTCAAATAGAGCTATCCATATTTTTGTTTACTGAATTATCTCACATAATTTTTCCTTGTCCACCATTTCAAGTAGTAGGACTTGAGATGGGGGAACCAATGGGAGTGATGAGCTAGAAGGCTAGCCACTTGTATTTTGGATATAGATTTTTTAGATATAAAAACATTCTTTTGGAGACTATATCCCATTGGAGATAGTTATAACTTTATTAATGGAGATGTAAAATTTTTTAACACTTTTGACGTAGTCGAACTTTGGTTATTGAAAACTAAATTTTACTTGAGATTTTGGATCTAAGTTTACGTGGATTGCTAGTTATGAATTAAGCAAGTTTTGAACCTTATGCATTTGTGAAAGTCTCTCACAAGTGTATGGCGTTTGTTTTGCTCTTAGTTTTGGGGTGTGAAAGTCTGTTTTTAAGAGCTAGTAAGAATAGAATATGAGAGATCTGACCCTTTATCCATCTTTGAGAGTCGATGTAATGAAGATATGTAAAAGTATGTAACCTTTTGCCCATTGCTAGAGGCTAAATGAGACAACAAATTTGGCCCTTTGTAAATCATTGAGAGATGTGTAGATGTAATAAAATTAGCCTATTGTCCATTAATGGGAACCAATGATAAAGACATGTAAAGTAAATATCTTGCCTGTTATCCATCACCATGAGCTATATAGATGTGGTAAAATTAGCTCATTGTCTTTTGATGGGAGCCATGTAGATGTAGATGTAGCAAAATAGGCTCTTTATTCATTGCTGGAAGCCAAAAGGATGGAGCAGTGAATGTCGCAATAAAGATTATGACTATCAAAAACATCCAACCAAGTCGTGGAGATAGATGCAGCCAAGTCTAGCCATGTATATGAGAATGGTATTGAAATAGACCACGTCTGCAATATTTCCAATGAAGTAGATGAACGTCACTTTTAATGATGCTGACTCTATTGCAATCATCAGAAGAAAATAAAATATAACATATCTAATGTGGAAATAGATCATATGGGCCCTTCCTCATCACAAGTACAAAGCCGGTCT